GATTGCATCAGGGTAGGTCCATGTGGCTTCTCCAGCTCAGGGCACTAGTGTAGTTCCATGTGTCTTATCAGCTGCAATGTCTCCCAAGCTATTTATCTCCTTAGCGCCTCCACTCTCAAATCACAAATTGACACAAGATTATGTAACTACCACAGTATGTCTATTTCTTAAGACTAAATCCTTAGGGATAGATTGTTGGGTTGATAGCTATTTTTTACATGTCAACAAATTTTTCCAGGTGGCTGTCCAAATATTTAAAAATAATTCAGTTTTACAATCAATATATAAGAGTACCTCTTCCCTTTACAGTAATAAATGTTCTGTACATACTCCAGTAAAAGCCGAGTTTTTCAGCACATTTTTAATGCACTTTGTGTGGTAAAATTAGGTGCCTTGGCTGATATTCAGGTTGGCTTATACTCGAGTATATACAGTAAGTGCTCTTTTTAAAAACCTTCTTCATGTGCTTGACAATGGATGTATGTATGGATTGTTATAAGAGCTATAAGAGCCCCCAATAAAATATCTGTAACAATAAAAACAAAAAACCTGTTTCCAATATTGATAGATGTAAGTTGGTACTTACTACTCTTTTAGTGAGCTTGAGCACCTGTTACTATGTGTGTGGGCTGTTTGAATTTGCTTTTCTAAAAAGTGCTTACATATATTTCTGTTTTTTCCTTTGGCTTATTTGTCTTGATATTTTTGTGATATTAAAAATAATTTCTGTCACTTTGTAAATAGTAGCCTTTATTAAGCAAAGCAATTGTCTTTGAAGACTTGTGTAGAAAAATAAAAATAAAAATGAAAAGTCTCATTTATTAATTATGTGTCTACTTTTGAAGGCCTCAAATCAATAGGCCCAGCAGGGAAAGCATGAAGCTGGGGCTCTAGCTCGCCAGTGGTTGGCCTGAGCCAGGTGTCAGAAGGGGATGAGGTCAGAGAGCAAAGAGAGAAACAGAAAGCCAGAAGTGAGAATTTAGAGGAGAGCTGTAGTGAAAAGATCCTTTACCTGTATCTGAACTATTCTATTGCTCACTTTGCTTCTTCAACCTCTCTCAGTTGTGATTCAGCTATCCTAATGCAGACCACTTCTATTTCACAAGCACTTTAAGGAAAGCCTATTCTTTTCCTTTTTATAAATAAATCATTTTATTGGGGGCTCTTACAGCTCTTATAACAATTCATACACCAGTTATATCAAGCACATTTGTACATATGTTGCCGTCATCATTTTCAAAATGTTTTCTTTCTGTTTGAGCCCTTGGTATCAGCTGCTCTTTCCCCGCCTCCCTCCCCCACCCTCCCACCCTTATGGACCCCTGATATTTATAAATTATTATTAGTTTCATATCGTACACTGACTGCTGTCCCCTTCGTCCATGTTATCCATCCCCCTGGAAGCGGTGGAGGGGTGGAGATTGTGTGCCATTGTAGTTGGTTCCTAGTTTCTCCCCCTTTGCCCACCACCTTCCCTCTACCCTCATGGTATCACTACTCCCCTTGCTGTTCCTGAGGGGTTTATCTGACCTGGATTCCATGTGTTGAGAGCTCTTATGTGTACCACTGTACATGCTCCAGTCCTGCAGGATTTGTGAGCTAGAACTGGAGTCATGATGGTGGGGAGGAGGAAGCATTAAAGAACTAGAGCTGTGGTTCTCAACCTGTGAGTCACAACCCTTTTGGGGGTCGAGCGACCCTTTCACAGAGGTCGCCCAATTCATCACAGTAGCAAAGTTACAGTTATGAATTAGCAACAAAAATAACTTTATGGTTGGGGTCACCACAACATGAGAAACTGTATTAAAGGGTTGTAGCATTAGGAAGGTTGAGAACCACTGAATTAGAGGAATGTTGTGTGCTATGTTGGTGCTGTGCTGTACCCTGGTTGTCTCATTCTTTCCTTGTGACCCTTCTGTGAGGGAATGTTCAATTATCTACAAATGGGCTTTGGGTCGCCAATCCAACCCCATCATTTGCATCAATATATTTGTTTGTTTTGGGTCTTCTGATGCCTAATACCTTATCTTGTCAACACCTTGTGATCACACAGGCTAGTGTGCTTCTTTCATGTGGGCTTTGTTGCTTCCCTGCTAGATGGCCTCTTGTTTAGCTTCAAGCCTTTAAGAACCCAGACGCTATATCTTTTAATAGCCAGGCACCATCAGCTTTCTTCACCACATTTGTTTATGCACCCATTTTTACTTCAGCAATCCTGCTGGGAAGGTGAGCATCACAGAATGCCAGGTTATTAGAACAAAGGGTTCTTTCATTGAGAGAGTACTTGAGTAGAGACCCAATGCCTGTCTGCTACCTTAATGCTTAACATTTAAATATATGTTATATTAATGTATTTACATATGTGCATGCCTAAATTCATGCCTCTATAGTTGTCTTTTGCCTCCCAATTCTTCCCTCTATTTCTTTTTCCTCCTGTTCCACTATCATGTTTGACCTTCATTTGACTCTCAGTACTTTCTGTAGGATACATTGCACTTGATCAAGCCCCATTGCCATCAATTTTAAATCTCTTCTTGTTCCGTTGACCCTGGGTTTGTTGGCTTCCCCCTCCCTTCCTCCCACCTCCTCCTCTCCCATGTCTCTCTAGAGCCCTCGGTCATGCTGTTTTCTCATTGGGATCAGTTATACTACTTATCCTATATGGATAGACATGAAAAAAAGGAAAAACAAACAAACACAACAACACCCCAAGACCCCCAACCCTACAAATAGTTCCATGTCTGTCTGCTGACCCTTCTGAGTGTTTTCCAGTTATGGCTGGTGAAGTGCCATGCCCTGCCTGCCGATTCTGAGGTCTGTTTTCGGGATTCCTCAAGGCCTTCATTGTTTTACTTCCCTTGCTATTCTGCTGCGCAACCTTCGTGTCTCGGTCCAGTGCTGTGGGGTCAGACCGGGCACAAGTCCCACTCTGTGTCTCCAGTGCTGTCCCCTGTAGCCCTGTGGTCAGTGAGGGGGTGTCGTGTCTCCTGGTGGAGTTGGCCTCACGGTCCTCTGTGCCTTGGCTACTCTCAGCAGGAATGTCGTCCTCGAGGCGTGGTGGGCCAGGTTGCGGCTCTCTCTCTCTCTCTCTCTCTCTCTCTCTTTCTCTCTCTCTCTCTCTCTCTCTTTCTCTCTGTTTTCCCCTGTGTAGTCTGAGCAGACCCGCCACTCTCCCTGCACTGCATCTTCAGTGCTGGCCTCTGTAGTGCATTCTTCTGGGGAGGGTGTCCAGGTAGCTGGGACTGGGGCCGGCCCCACAGTCCTTTCTGTTAATTCGCTGCTTCATGTCCTTGAGGCTTGGCGCCCCAGGTTGAGGTCTGTCCCTTTCTGCCTTTCCCGTGGAGACATGAACAGTACCCTCCCCCTGTGTGAGTTAGTGCTTTGTGTCTCACGATCCATGTCCTTTTTTTTGAGGAAAGCCAATGCTTGACTCCTTCTGTCAAGCTATTTTGTCTGCTAACCTCCCGAAAGGGCCCGGACTGGGTATAAGAGGACCAGTCTTCTTGGTCTTGGCTGAACAAGTTATAGCTAACGAATCACTCTGGGCCTTAGTTTTCTCATCTATAAAGTAAAGGGATTGAGTTAGATGGCTTCTGCCATCTATTTGGATTCTAAAATTCTGTTTTCCATTTATAATGTCTTTGGCAATTTTCTCTTACATCTTTTATTTCATATTTCTTCTTTTGAACAAGTCTTCCTGGAATAGCATTACATAGAAAGAATGCAAATCCCCAGGAATACAATGGCTCTATAGGAGGGTGCATACTCCCTGGGGAGACTTAGCATGTGCATCAAATGTAACTGTAGAGGAGGCCCCCCAAAAAAGCCATGGAATCCTGCTGTCTAAGTGGTGAGGTGAGAGAAGGCTTTGTACCGAAGGAATGCTCACGTCTGGTCTTGCCGAATGAGTACTTAGGTCATGCTGAGAGATTGGTAACATCATCACATCCACTGGTGAAGACACAAAGCTAAGGAAACCTTATGTGTAACTTCAAAGCACTGTCGGAGCTGAGAAACATGCCCCAAACCACATGGCTTGGGTCGTTATCCAGGACTCCCCTTTCAGGCTTGCATTTTCTCTTGGCACCACAGCCTCTATCTGTGGTCAGGAAGGCCTCTGGCCTGCAGGGACTGATTGAGTGGGTCATGTCAAGAACAGGAAGCGCAGCATCTCCTATTCACCAAGCTGTTGATTTGTGGTAGATGTGGCCGTGCCTGTCTGTTAAATTAAGTACAAGAATAAAATGATACATTAGAGAGTGTTTGGGAAGGACAAATCATGAAATGTTGCCATTAAGCTTTTCTGGCAAGGGTGCCTGTGTGTGTGTGTTTGTGTGTTGGGTGTGAGAGGGACTGGTAAAAATCAACATAGAGTTATTTCCACAAACTATAAAGATGTAAAATGAACATAATAATGATTCAAACTTGTTCTGTATTTAAAAATATTTATGTTGCAAAACCTTTTTGTCTCTTTAGGTAATTAGAAACCCTGGCCATCTCCCAAGAGACAGAGTCGCTGAGGATTTTGTCTGGGCTCAGTGGGATATGCTAGAACAGAGACTGTACTACATTGACCTAAAGGTAACAACTGCTCCTCTGGCCTTCTAAGACATTTGATGATGATTATTATTTTTGGCTTACTGTGGCTTAAAAAAACACCATTGTGTTTTTATTGGGGAAGGGCAGTCAATTAAATGTTGTGAAAAATAATGAAAATGTTTTTTAGTACAGTTTGGTATTTTCTAGCTTTTTTTTAAACTATAATTTTTATTGCTTTTTGGTAGCGTATCATTCATTCTAATTAGGTTCTCTTTTAGAAATCAAGGAGTATCTTAAAATGCATCCAGTTCAGTGTGCCTGAGAACTTCACGCTGATGGTAAGTCCAGGAGTAATTAGCCTACAGGAAATCCTCTCACAAACTGTCCCCTTTTAAAAGAGAGCAGCTGTCAAAAGAGAATTTTCACATTCTTGATGTTGAGTTAGTCATTTGTTGCAGGAGCAAGTGACATAACGCTGGCCGTCTCGTGGGTACCACTCGACAGCAAGTGCAGTGAATGTGGGTGACGAGACGAGCACATTCAGGGATTCTCTTGAGTAACGAGTGCCTGACCGCAGAGGGATGAGTACAAGGGTGGGATTAGTATCAGGCAATAGATATGGTCTGCAGTAGGTAGCTTTGTAAACCTGCAAGTTCTTTGACCCTAAAAGGCTTGTGAAGATGGTGGATTTGAGACTAAGGGAAGAAGTCAGTGAGAGAGTATAGTTTGCATAACAAAAGTCTAGCCTCTGTCTGGGACAGTTTGCAGTGCAGAGTGGTACCCTTGTAATGTGTCATCACTAACACCTGTATCTATGATGAGTAGCAGCTTGTCACTTGTACTTGACAAGGGCTCCTATTGAACTAATGTTCAGATGGACCTCATGCAATCACCTGGGGGATTTTATATTTACCTGCCCCTTTCTTATGCATTCACAAAGGAGCTCCCCCCTTCCCCCTGCTGTGTCTTATAAAAGGAGCCCTGGTGGCACAGTGGGTTCTGTGTTGGGCTGCTAACTAGTCAGCAGTTCAAAACCACCAACTGCTATTTTGGAAAAAGATGAGGCTTTCTATGCCTGTATATTATTACAGCCTCAGAAACCCGCAGGGGCAGTTTGACCTAGTTCTATAATCGATGTCAACGTGTTTTGTTGGGTGTCTTATAGAAGGCTACCACTGTCAATTGGTGTGTTATACGATGTGTTTATGATAGTCAAATCCAAGACAAAGTTTGCCAAGTGTTAGCTTTTTGAGAAATAAATATGAAGGCACTCCAAAAGTCTATGGAAAAACTCCATTATTTTAAAATTTAATTTTCCATAAAGTTTTTGAAGCTCCTTCATCTATAGCAGCTTGTGATGGTATGTAAACTTCAGAGACTTTCGGTGCTGAGGGTAATGGTGGTTCAGTAGACTATTCATCATTAGACAGGCACAGCATGGCCAGACTGCCTCCGGTTTTCAGGACCATCATTTATTCATTAATGTTTCAGGCCAGGTTGACTAGAGAAACAAATTTTATGACACTCATATATGTATAAGGAAGAGCTTTATATCAGTGAGTAATTGTATATTAGGAAAACATCCCAGCTCAGTCCAGATCTAGTCCATAAGTCCGATATTAGCGATAAGATCATTACTAGTCCATAAATCCTTGTTCAGACTCAACACAGCACATGCAATGATGCAAAATGCAGGAAGATCACAGGCCAGTGGGTGCAAAGTCTTGTGGATCCAGTGGCAGTGGAAACAGCTCCAGGGCAGGTCTCCCAATCTCTGAGTGTCTCAACAGCAAGAAAGTGAAGTAGAGAATCTGTGGCCTGCCTCCAGCGGGAAAGAGCAAGTTCCCAAAATCCTCATGAGGAGTCCAGGCCCACAAGGAGGCATCATCAGGCTGTGATCAGATTGACAGACTAGACTCCACCCCTAGACCTATTGATCAAGTTGACATGAAATTATGTAACTACCACAATTAACATCCGTTTTTTTGGTTTGTTTTCTCTGGATTTTTGACAGTTTGAAGCACCCTTGGACATATCATTAAATGACTCAGGATTGAAGTAAGTGACTCATAAAGTGGATTAATTGTGATCGACACATGGGCAACATAATTGGGTTTAAACATGGTGTGTTGAAATGCTCTTTGCATGTGCCTTCTTTTACCTTCCCAGTCTCGAGAGGGACTGTAAACACTGTTATCAAGTATGAGCACATGCTGTTTTTACTCATAAAGTCAATGGTATTGATTATTCTTAGCCATTTATTTCTGTGCAGCATCTCCACTTTGGCCCACGAAGCTGTTTTTCTCTGTATAATCGAGTGAACGGACTTGATTGGGCTGCATTTAGACCCAAAGGTGAAAGCCCTTTCCTCGTTGCCATCAAAGAGGATGTCACTGCTCAACCCGCCTGTAGCCCAGCTGAGTCTATTGCTTACTTTTTCCTGATTTCCATTTTATGCCCAAAAGGGAGGTTTTTCTACCTCTGCCCTCTTGCCCTTTACGTCTAGTAAAAACGTAGGCACTTTTGAAGAAATGCACACAAGGTCATCAGAGCCCCAAAGAAATAAAAGTTTTCCTGAATGGAAGCAATGATAATCCTAAGTGGTTACATAGTTTATTAGCTTTAGTCTATGTTTTATGAAAATCCAGTTGTAATTTTTGAAACATAGTATATGCATTACCCAAAATCAACGAAAGTTATACATCTGTAATTTGAAAGCAGCACTGTTCTGTTCTGTTGCTAGAGCCACACCATTTATATACAGATTAAAAAAATAATAAAATAACTGTTCTGGAGTGTTTTATAGGATTTCTCAACAGAAAATAGAAGCATCTTCTGAAAATTCTCAGGAGTATGTCTCCATTTTTGTGTCTATATTCTAGTGGGTACTCATGTCCTTTATTAGATAATATTTTTGAATGCAAAAAAAAAAATTTCTTTTTTACCTTTTGTGTTCCTAGGCTTGTCAACTTTGGATGTGATTATCTTCAGGACCAAGAGAAACTATCCACACACCCGACTCTGTGTGTTTTCTCCAACAAGACAGGTAGAACAGTCATCATCGGTGTCCCCAACTTGAGTACTATACACATTTTAGTCATCACTTAACTTTTGGGGTCTGGAAAATGAAATATAGCAGAGCCACATTCTCACGTAAGTGATCATATGGACTTTCATATGCCAAAGTGTCTTCTCCACAATAATTTCATGTTATTATTATTTTTATTTATTTTTAAAATTTCAATAAATAATTTTATTGGGGACTCTTACAGCTCTTATAACAATCCATACATCAATTGTGTATCAAGTCCATTTGTGTTACAATAATTTTGTGTATCTGCCATCGTAGTAACACCGTCAGCAGGTTGCTGTGTGGTAGATATTATTCGTGTTATAGTTTCAGTACAGGAGATGGATTTATATTTAGTCAATGTACATTTTGTCACCGGCTCCATCTTTTAATAAATGTCGCCTAGTGATGGTGGTGCGCTCGGAGTCAGGTTTCCTGACATGTGCTTGGCTTCAAGATGCATACTCTAATCTGCCTACTGATGTCAAGTTAGTAGCAGACACTGCCTCTTAGTTGTTGAGTGTACGTAAGGAAAATGGAGAGGAAAAATGCATATTGAAGACAACAGAAGTATTTGATTACATTAATGAATCTGGTGAAAAAAGCTTATCACTAACCTGAGTAATCATCTATGACAGCCCAGTCTAATAACTAAGTCTTATAATAGTCTTTAACATTCCAACTTGAGTAGACATTTACTACATGAATTGAGTAGCCCCTGTGCTTAAACTGTATTCCTTTGAAACCAAATTTTGTGGTATTTATCCAGCCATAAACATTTATTGAGTACCTGCTGTGTGCTAAGTGTTAGGGATACAATGATGAACAAAAGCGTCGTAATTTGTATTCATATTGAAGATACGTAATGTGGACTTTAGACACTAAATGAACATATGCATATGTTTAAATAGAATCAGGATATTTTGAGGAGAGGTGCAAGGTACAGGAAGCTGTGATATGATATAATGGAGGTTTAATGGGAGATACTAGAACCTTCAGCCAGTCCATTCTCCTTTTTATTCCATCTTGTACTGTCCTGAGAATGTCCCCATCCACATTCTCACTTGTTCATAGTTCAACTCTATTTTCCTGTTCATTCTAGCTCAGCCTCAACTAACTGTGCCCCTACATAATCCCATGTTGGGGTTTCAGGGAAAGAAGCAATATTTCAGCTGAGACCTGATGGTTATACATGAAGTATATACATATACCAGCATGGCCAAAGCAGAGTAGGGAAATGGGGCAACGTTGTGAGGAATAGCTAAGTTGATACGCAGCAGCCAGATTGTGTAGGGCTTTGCAGACCATGGGACAGTGTTAGATTTAAATGGTGCTTTATTGTGTTTTCTTTTGTTTGGGGGGGGATTTTTGATGCAAGTTTGTTTAGCATTTTAGTTCAGCTGCACTGGTTAACATTCTTCACAATGTGTGAACCTTCTCATTATTTTAAATTCTGGTTCCATTTCTAATGATCTCTGTTCCCTTACACTTCCATCTTTGTTTTTATTTATTTATTTTTGTAATTTCTCATTTTACTGGGAGCTCCTACAGATGTCACAACATTCCATAATTGCAACAGTTCAAGCACAGTTGTACAATTGCTCCTACAATTAGTTTCAAAACATTTTCTTTCTTTTTGAACTCTTTGATATCAGCTCCTCTGTATCCCCTTCCTGTACCTTGTACCTCTCCTCAAAATATCCACCCTTCCCCCCAGGAACCCTTATTGTTATTGTTATATATTGTTATTAATATGCTATTGTAATTTGTGATAGGTAGGTTTATTGTGCCAACCTGGCCAATAGGAACATGTGGGATTAATCAGGTTGCAATTTGATTGGAGGGCAAAGAGATAAAAGGCTCTGCAAGGCCCACCCCTCTCTCTCTTGCTCTCTGGTGATCAGAGTGTGCTATACTAGTTCTCTGCCTCAACCTGTGAGTTACACTGTCTGTGGGCCAGGTCAATCCGTGGATCCTGTGGCTAGAGCTTGAGGTTCCTTCAAGACCTGTTTTACCACGCTGCTGGTGCGTACATCACTTGAGCTTGAGGCTGGTGGATTTCGTTGCCTCGCATTGCTTGCGATTGATATCCTATCTGGGCCTGCTTCGTTAAGTTCCCAAGATACTGACTGTTGGTGACCTACCCTGCTCTCTGATGCCTGTGGGCAGACTCTGTTTGCCTTGCTCCAGGGAGGACTCTGCTTTCTGCTTCCTTGACCTTGGACCTGGCAGCCCATGTGAGTTGAAGGGCTTCCAGTATATTAACTGTTCCACAGAAGTGAGTTGAACTGAACCCTCTGTACTGCTATGTGAACTATTAGCTGTTATATCCCTTCTCACTGTATAGACCTATCTATATATCTAGATCTAGATATATATAAAATCTTAAGTGTCCTGATTTTATTTCTCTAAAGAACCCTAACATTTATATATATATATATATATATAGATATATATATATAGATATAGATAGATATATCCCCACCTACAATTGTTATATATATATCTATATAGATAAATATAGATATAGATATATCCCCACCTCTGTTATTTGCTCCCCTTGAGTGGAGTTATGCAGTCATCATTGCTCTTAGTTCCCCCTTCCCCACCTTCCTCACCCTGTCTTCCCGTATTCTTAGGAAATCATTACTCCCATTGCTATTTCTATAGGGTCATCCATCCTGGCATTCCTGCATCGAATGATCTTACTCATATGCCTGAACATACATGAGTCTAACAGTATTAAGGAGGTGAAACATAAGCCTTATTAGTAAGGGGAGGAAATATTCAAGAACCAGAGGATAGTTATAATTTTTATAGTTATGATTTCCTCATCCCCCACCATGAGGGCCTGTCCAGTTATCTTGAAGGTGGCCTTTGGTTTTCCACTTTGTCCACGCTCCTTCACATCCATTTGATTGCTTGTTTTTGAACTTCTGATACCTGTTCCTATCGACACCTCATGATCACACAGGCTGGTATGCTTCTTCCATGTTGGCTTTTTTGCTTCTCTGCTCAATGGTCACTTTTTTAACTACAAGCCTTTAAGACTCCATACACTATATTTTTAATAGCCAGGCACCATCAGCTTTCTTCACCACATTTGCTAATGTACCCATTTTTGTCTTCAGTGATCAGGTCAGGAAGGTGAGTATCATACAGCACCATATTATTAGAACTAACCGTTCTTGTACTTAGGTGAGCTTTTAGTAGAGGCCCAATGTCCATCTGTTCCTTAGTGTGTTTATGTATATGTTCATGTATATGCAAATACACCTATATTGATATAATTACATATCTAGATTTATACATTTTTTTGCTTTCCTCCTGCCCCACGAGTATGCTTGCCTGTCATTCACCCAGTAATCTCTCTCGCCATAACCACTGACTGTTAGGCTCATATAGATGGTTTTAAAGGAGCAGAGCACTCATGGGTGATACTCCTTCTGTTCTTGAGCTAAAAGATGACCACAGTGAATTGGTTTTGTTCAGCGTCTCTGGACAATAGTCTTGAGGAGTCCTCCAGTCACAACTGGTCCAATAAGTCTGGGTTTCTTTTCAAGGAATTTGAGGCCCCAGTTTTTTCATGATAGATCTTTTGTAGCCCTGATCAGAGCTGTCAGGAGCTGTGGGTGTTGCGGTGAGGTGCTGTCAATTCTGTTCTGACGCAGAGTGATCCTTCGTACAGCAGAGGAAATACTGCCCCCTCCTCATCCTTGCTCTTTTTGAGCCCATTAATGAAGCCACTGTGTCAGTCCCTCTGTTTGAAGGTCTTCTTCACGGACCCCCTTTTATCAAGCATGGCATCCTTTTCCAAGAACTGGCTCCCCTGATACCATGTCCAAAGTATGTGAGAGGAAATCTCCCCTCCTCACTTGTAAGAAGCGTTCTGACTGTACTCTTCTAAGACAGTTATTCTTCTGGCAGACTGTGCCAACGTCATACTTCAAATGCATCAGTTCTTCAGACTCTTATTCACACGCATATGAGGTGGTTGGAAATGCTATGGCTTTGATCAGGAGGGCCTTAGTCCTCCAAGTGACATCTTTGACCTTTGACACTACAGAGGTCTTGTGCAGCAGACTTGCCCAGTAGAGTTTGTCGTTTGATTTCCTGACTGCTGCTTCCATGAGCATTGACTGTGGATCCAAGTAAAATGAAATCTTGACAAATTCCGTCTTGTCTCTGTTTGCCATCTCACTGCCTTTGAGCCTTTGCCGATTCATAGCGAGCCCTCTGGGCTTCCGAGACTGTGACTGCTGAGACGGGAGTAGAAAGCCCAGTCTTTCTCCTGCGGAGTTGCTGGTGGTTTCCAACTGCCGACAAGGAGGATTGAAGCCCAACTCATAATCATGACTCCACCGGGGCTCCTTACCTGTTTATCATGGTGTTGCCTATTGCTCAGTTGTGGGGATGTTTGTTTTCTTTACATGGAATGGAAACTCAAACTCATAAGTCTTTGCATCAGTAAATGCTTCAAGTGACCACACTTTCCACACACAAGGCCATGCCACCTGCATGTGAAAGGCTGTTACTGAGCCTCCTCTAGTGCGGATGCCGAACTCGTCTGCATACAGCCTAGCAGCTCTGATGGCTTTCTCTGCAGACTCATTGAATAAAACCCTGATGCACACCTTTCCTGATTCTAAACCCGGCCATATGCCCTTGCTCTGTTTGAATGACTGACTCGTGATCTGTGGGCAGGTTCAACATGAGCACAATTATGTTCTGGAATTAACATTCTTCTCAAGGTCTCTATAGTTTGTTGTGATCCACCTAGTACAATGCCTTTGCATAGTCAATAAAACGCAAGTAAGCATTGTTCTGGTTTAAGTCCAGATCCATCTGACAGCAGCAATGATACTCCTCTTCTGAATGTGGCTTGATTTTCTGGTAACTCTCTTTTCATGTGTGATTGCAACAGGTTTTTTTTTCTGGTCTCCGAATTTTGTTAGTTGCCTATTACCATCATATGA